CCAGGTATCAGAAGAAGGAGTATGTGATTGTTTAGTCCAAAAATTAAGTTTCGTGCTTTTAATTGGTGTCATATCCTGTCCCAAGTCTATAGCGCTTCTATCAAAGGCACCCATATTAACCTGAAAGGGAATCATGATAGCAACTCCTTTTATCCCCTGGCTCAAATGTTTGCGTGTGCGACCCTAATTTTTGTTAAAACACTTTCAGGCCAAGGCAACAGGAAATCGTAAACGTGGCTACACCATGAAAATAATTTTCGAGTGCGTTATTTCTCTCCGTGTTCAGAGTGAGTTGTGCAAGCTGCAGAGGAGACTGTTGTATCCTTAAACCCAGTGCGACGAAAAGAGCCACTCTTCCAGCAAAATAACTACCCTCCTCCTTTCATAAATCTTGATTCCAACTAGACGGAGGCCAGAAATTGACTCTGTCTCTCGCATCAATGGCTTAAAACTGTTGCATCACAGTAGTATGTTCAAAGGGAATCAGAACTATCCAACAACAACTTCAGGGGCAGGGAGGCAATTATAACTGACAGCCAGATGTCTGGCCTGGCTGCTTTAATACCCATCAAGACTGCAGATGGTCTTGAGACCTCTGCATCCAAACAGGGAGTCCCAGTGAATGATAAACAACAATACCACAAATCATCAGCGCAAACCAAAAATGCTGCTGGGACTGATCAAGATTTCAGATGTCAAGAGCTGGCCACCTTCTCTCCCTTCTTCTCCCCCTCCCCCACGCCTGACCCCTCTCCCAAACAAAAAGCTTGTTAGTGGTGGAGGGCCCAGCAGGAAATGTTTTTACACCCAGGGCCAAATGCTAATCCTTCACTGAAGCTTTTAATATGTTTAAATGTTTAGATGAAGGAGGCAAAAAAACGGATTCCAGTCGAAATCACTCGACATGTGGGACATGGAGATTTCGTAAGTTGGTTACGTCTATATTACATTCGGTGGCCTTCCTCTTCAATTTAGGATTACCTTAAAGGAGCACATTCTAAATCAAAGAGAAAGGGAGTTGGCTTGAATTATCCTTTAAGCAACTACCAGCATGAAACTTTTCGTTCCTTAAATGCGTGTTTCTGGGACAGAGCACGAATAAGTTCTATGCCTATCCAGGTGCACGTATTTCTTCATTTCTTCATTTTCGCTGGCTGCACATTGTGTTGTCTTGAAACACTTCTTTGGGCATAACTAGACTTGACATGCACTTGCGATTCATAAACTATTACAAACATCAAACCACGCTCCTCCAAACACGGCTAAAGGATTCTGGGGAAAACTCGGTAACATTGTCTTGGTTTGTAAAGTGGTTTGAATTTTTCACGATGGCATCAAATAGTTGCGAACCTGAACGAACTAGGTGCTTCCGGTAAGCAGTGGTGGGTTTTTCAGTGGCGTGACCGGTTTTGCCGTTTTCACTCGTGTCTCTTAAAGTAACTACACATATGCCTTCTCGAGCAAATTCCTTTCTATGAAGTCTTCACAAAGGTGTTTCGAGTTCCCATTTCAGATGCGTCTCCCTTTTGTGACCTTCTCCCCAAGGGCTGCGGTGCACACTCCTGTAGTTGTCTGTCCCAAACCCATTTTGAAACTCGGCTTTCTCAATACAAATGTCAAAACCAGGGGCCTTTCAGAGTAGCTGCTATGAACACGAGCCCTTTCTTCACAGCCGGCCTGACCGTGTCTTCAGTCTCCATCAGAGACCTGCTGCGTGTGGACACGCATAGCAGTTTTCCCAACAGAGACGCATCGAATGCCCTTTTCCGGAAACAACACTTCCAGAAATGTGCTGACCAAGAAGAAACAGCAGGGGTGAGAGAGGTGGCCAAAGCACTCACAACATCTTAACAAGCACTAATTAAATGTCTTTCTTTAAAAATATGGCTTAAGAAAGCCAAATACAATAACTTCTTACAGATGGTTTTAGGAACTAACAAGACCCATAGGAAATGGTGCAGTCATTAAGATTAGTGTCCCCAAAGTCTCCTACAACCATTAGTGACTGGAGGTGCTGTGCACTTCAGGAAGAAATGATGAGAGTCTGTCTGATGTGACGTGCCGGGCCCCCCCCCCCCCGCCCACCACCACCATTTGTCTCCGAAGGGAACTTTGCATCTGTGTTAGTGCATTACACAGTCAATTATTGAAAGAGCTAGTCAATTGAATATAGAAAGAGTATTAGCAGCCTTGAAATCTAGTTTTCTGTCGGGGGCCAAAGTTATCGTGAAAAAGGATCGTCAGTACCAAAAAGGCAGGAACTGTGTGTTATCATATCAATACCTCAAGTTCCAACACATAGTGGGCATGTGGTAAGTGCTCATTCATTTATTGGACAAATATTCCTTTAGTGGTTACCCTGTGCAGGCACGGGCGAAGCTTTGGAAATAAAGTAAACGAGAAGACAGATAAGGCACCTACCTTTTAGAATAGATAGCCTGTGTGAAGATGTTTGTTAAAAGGATGGATGGATGGACGGATGGATAAATGATCTAATAAAAGTATTTCTCAGACGCACTTCTGACTTTCCTTTAGGGATAGGGGCCTTGGGCTGAGCTCATTCAAAGAAATGTAGAGCCAGGTTCCCAAGAGAGATGGCTCAGGACAATCCCCGTGGCAGTGATTGGCTTCAGCATGGGCTTGGAAATAGACGCTTCCATGGCAATCTGAGTTTCAGACGAAGGAGCTACTAGTGTGAAATGAAGTTTAAAGGATCTTAGAACCCGTTCAAGATTACTATTAGCACTAGCGTTCTAAATAGGATCTGAAGACGTGCTTCTGGTAATAAAGGAAAACACAGGCCTAACACTCAGAAAAAAGATTTTCACCTTCAAAATATAACTAAAAGACTAAAAAGTAAGTGTGTGTCCGAATGTATGATTCAGAAAAGACCTCTTGTTTCTAGCTATGTGTGTAATCCCCCTCTGGAAGACGTGTCTTGACAGCCCCCAACTGCTTTTCACTCTGGCAGGCTTCTTGATCTCTTTGCTGTTTTGTTTTTCTTAAAAAATTCGATTCCCGTTTGCCATTATTCAGCTGCTTAATGCTGATGTTCCACAGCTTGTAGATGCAGGCTTCATGATGCAAACTGGAGTCCAGGAGCAAAATGACTGTTTGGAACCAGTAAGACCAGAGGGACAGGAGACCGTCACACCCGCTCCCCAGGGCAGTTGGCTGAGTCCTTTGGGGACGTGGGCCCTGTCACAGAAAGCATCGGGTAAAACTTGTTGGTGGGAAACAGTGAGTCAACCTAGCCTGGCCGTGGGGGAGGTGGGGGAAGGGTCTCAGGGGGAAAACTCCTGCCTAGGTGTTTTCTGTAAAACGACTAGTTAACTGGATGGTTGCTGGTTGCTTTGCAGTATGATGAGAGAGAATTTCCAAGTTATTGGGTTGATGGGCCAGCACCGGACCCCATAGAAACACCTGTGCCGGGGCGCCTGGGTGGCGCAGTCGGTTAAGCGTCCGACTTCAGCCAGGTCACGATCTCGCGGTCCGGGAGTTCGAGCCCCGCGTCAGGCTCTGGGCTGATGGCTCAGAGCCTGGAGCCTGTTTCCGATTCTGTGTCTCCCTCTCTCTCTGCCCCTCCCCCGTTCATGCTCTGTCTCTCTCTGTCCCAAAAATAAATAAAACGTTGAAAAAAAAAATTTTTAAAAAAAAAAGAAAAAAAAAAAAAACACCTGTGCCAAGTCACTCCATTTGTCAACATGACTTACCAACTACCACCACCACCCTCCACAAACAAAGAATCCTTACGGCGACCGGTGGGAGAAAACAAACTCGCTTTGGATGTGGTGTGATTTATTTCATGCATTCACTCAACAAACACTTACTAAGAAACTCTTCAGTGTCATTTGCCAAGTAACTCTACCTGAGCAAGTTGGCAGGAAACAAAGAGCTGCTAAAGAAGCTATTAAGGGAAAACATTAAAATTATAGCATTACAAATCAAATCTTCAGGCTTGGGGACAGAGTTGGGGGAAAAGTTGCTGCGCGTGGCTACCATTCACAAGGTGATTGCTCGCCACAAGACCGCACTGCGCTCCATTCCTTCCTTTCATTTTCTTGTTTAATGGCTACAACAAATCTGTTAAGTAGGACTCCTTATTCTCATCTCATAGATGAAGAAACTGACGGCCAAAGAGATTCAGTAACATCTAGTAAGTGGGAAGATGTGGTTTGCACTTTCAGTCTCTGCAAACCTCCCTCCAAAGCCCACAGGACTCCCCGGCTTCTCTCACATGCTCTACTGCTCACATTTGAGGCCAATTAATATTCAAGTCGAAACTTTAGGTGATTGTCACTAACACATCTCACACATGTGAGAGTTGAGTGAGTGTCTTTTAAATGCATATGTAAATGCAACATTCACAGGTATGGTCCAAAAATGTTAGTAATATTTTATGAGCTCCAAATCTCATTCTTGGTGTTCTCTTTTACATCAGACCTCTCTCAGAGGGGCTATAGATACAACGTTTCAGATCAAAAGTTGTTGATGTTGAGGGCATTTTGCTAAGTGAAATATGCCAGACAAAGAAAGAGGAATGCAGCGCAATCTCACTTACATGTGGAATTTTTAAAAAATCAGATATGGTGGAAACGGGGATCAGATTTGTAGTTGGTGGGAGTGGGGCAGGAGGGTGATTTAGGTAAAGGGGGCCAAATGGTACAAACTTCCAGTTGTAAGATAAATAAGTCCTGGGGACGTAATGTACAACGTGACAGCTATGGTTAGCAATGCTGTATTGTATATTTGAGAGTTGCTAAGAGGTGTGTGTGTGTGTGTGTGTGTGTGTGTGTGTGTGTGAGGTGGGGTGCAGAGACAGAGGGAGAATCTTAAGCAGGTTCCATGCCTAGCGCAGAGCCCAATAAGGAACTTGATCTCATGACTGTGAGAGCATGACTTCCACCAAAATCAAGAATCAGGTGCTTAACTGACTGAACCACCCAGGCTCCTGGAGGGTAGATCTTAAACGTTCTCCTCATATGTAAGAACTACGTGATTGGATGGGGCCCCTATGTGTGGTGATAAATATTAACTAATCTTATTGTGGTAGTCATGTTGCAATCTAGACAAATATCAAATCATTCTGGTGTGCATCTTAAACATACACAATGCCATATGTTAATTCTGCCTCAATAAAAATGAGGAGGGGGAAGGTGCTTTTCTTCTCCCCGACAGCACAGTCTTGCCTATGTTCCTACGGCAGCTGTGATGGTCAAGGAGCCCACTTACGTGATGCCTGACAGGGAATGTCCCTCAGGGGTCTGAGGTGCCGGTAGGGAAGAGGAAAGAGGAGGGGAGGAAAAGCAAAGCTAGCAAAGCAGAGGGAGAAGCAAGGCAGAAGGAGAGAGAAAACCGCTCTCCTGTCTTCCTCTCGCATCCTTGTAGCCAGTTCTGTGGTCACATCACCAACAGCCGGCCATTTGTCACCATCTTCCAGGTGGCCTCCCCCCTCACCCAGGCTGCTTTCAGAAATGAGCAAAAGAGGTGTGTGGGGGCAGAAGACCCAGAAATCTTGGCTTGTCATCTGAAGCTTTTGAACCCAGGCAAACCGTAAGCCTCCCTGGGTCTGTTTCCTCATCTGTAAAAGTCATAAGGTGCACTTCACCAAATATTGAACGTCTAATGAGATTGTGCATTTTCAATAGTTTCATTGAGTTAAAACTGATACATGATAAACTGCATATATTTAAGAGACAGCACATTTAAAAGAGCATTTGTAAACCATAGAATTTTCTTCTCCACCAGGCTTAAAATCTCTCAGTAGTGCCTGAATTTTTGAAGACAGTTTCTGCTTAATCTTTTTGATGTCTGTTTGTTTGTTTGTTTGTTTGAGACAAAGCACAAGCAAGGAAGGGGCAGAGAGAGAGAGAGAGGGAGACAGAGGATCCAAAGTGGACTCCCAGCACCCCTTTATTATTTATTTATTTATTTTTATTTTTTTTAAGTGTTGAGACAGAGAGAGAGAAGAAGGGAAGGAAGGAGGGGGAGGGGCAGAGAGAGGAGGGAAGGAGAGAATCCCAAGCAGGCTCCACACTGTCAGTGCAGAGCCCGACACGAAGCTTGAACTCACAAACAGTGAGATCATGACCTGAGCCGAAATCAAGTCAGATGCCTGACCAACTGAGCCACCCAGGCGCCCCTTCCTTCCTTCCTTCCTTCCTTCCTTCCTTCCTTCCTTCATTCTTTTTTTTTTTTTTTAATCTGCTTAATTTTTAAGAGCTTTCATAACCAGGCTGCACCTTAGCTGGTCAACCTCATTTCTCACCACTTCCTAATGCAGTCACTCTGATACAATAAGACTAACCTTCCTCATTTCACATTCTTTCAGCTGGCTTTTCCCTGGAACACTACCATAAACTCCAAGCTCCCACCACTCATGGGCCAGCACCTTCATAGTCCTGCATTCATTCAGCCCTTGACTGAGCACAGACTGCCTGCCAAGCACTGATCCAGGCCCTGGGGGTGCTTCTGCGAGCCAGCAAGACAAGTCTGCTGTCCTCAAGGACCTCCGAGAGGGCCCTCTGCAGTCTACCTGGTGCTCTCTTGCCGGAATCGTCCCTCCCTGGACAAGTCCTCCCAGCTTCCAGTTCCCTCTCCTCTATGAAGCCTTTCTGAATTCCTATTAACTCATGATCTTGTCCCTCTTTTTTCCCTACGGCACCTGAAGGCTGCTTCATACAATTCGATGTGTGTCATTTTATTTCATAAAATTCCCACAGATTGAAAGCACCGTGCAGGAATCTATTTTTCCACATCCTCACAACCCCGAGGAGACGCACGAAATGCCTATTGATTTCAGAAGAGTACACCAGAAAGGCGGGGCATGTGGGAGAAACTTTCTGAGGGAGAACCCCCTATGACCACTCTGTGTCACATGCACGATGGGCTGGTTGGCTCCTTGGGAAGGGCAGCACCAGCGAGGACAGACTGATTCATGGCTTGTCCAAAGCCAACCACAGGGGAAGCCACGCTCAAGGACATGTTCCTGCCGCCAGCGAAAGACGAGTGTCTCCTAGCAACCAGATTCCAGTGGCTTCCTGGCCTCCAGAGTTTGCCCCTGCTCACTGCTTTGTTGCCTCTGGGTTTGCATTTTGGCGTTTGCTGACCATGGCATTCATTCTTGATTCCAAAACTTGAGGAAGAATGTCTGATCCCCAAGCTAGCTGACTGGACTAGCTCTGAGAACCATTTCATTCATGACATCCTTTCGGTAATGCTAGAACTTTCAAGGAACAGAATGTTTGCTCTTAGCTTAAAAAGGGTGAATACATTTTCCCCCAAGATTGTTATTTATATCAGAGCAGCTGGTTTGAAAGATACATAAAAAGGGAAGAGCATACATTCTTTCCATCAAATAATCAAAAAGTACTCAGACATTTTCAAAAAAGATACACTGTCATTCAAAACCTGTTTCAGCAATAAACTTTAACTTGGCAAATTCACAGATGCAGAAGGAAAGGCAAGTCGAATTTGAAGAAAATGACTCAAGGTCCTTAAAAGTTTGGATGGCTAATAAAATTATGTCTGCTGCAATATATGGCCTCAGCATCAATTCTTTCAGGGTTCTTTCTAGAGATTTCCAGCCTCAGCTCTGCTGTAGGTAGTGCTGCGTTTTTAAACTAGCGGGATGAAATTTAGCAGCTAACGTTGCCTTTTTTGTTTTCTCTTGTTCTAATCAAATATTCATCAAGACACAGTCAGTTACTCATCCATTTTTTTTTTTTAATGTAGTTCAGACTTCATGGTGAGGAGCTCAAAACCAACTCTAAATATAGCCTTAATTCCCCAAGCCCCATAAATGCGCGTGAAAATTCGGATGACTTTTCTCTTTCAAAAATAACAACTCGGAGACTGAAAGGTGAATGAAGTGCCTGCGTCATGTTCTCAGAGGACTGGTACCCCCTGATACCCGAGCCAACCCCGAACCACCGCTGCCTGAAATTGCCTTTGATTCGCGAGGAGCAACCCCAGACTTGCAGAGCCCCTGCTTGTCCATTCGCACAGTGAGCTTGGTCTCTGTCGAGTTATGAGTCCTTTGGAGGTATCTCTCCGTTTCCTCTCCCTTTCCCTCCCCTTCCCCCAGGAAGAACAGTCACAAAGTCTCAAGTTGAAGATTCATTCTAACTATTTCAGTGGTGGGGAAGGAGTCTCACTAAACCTAAAATCGAGACTTTGAGGGATGGGTTTGTACTAAAGCAGTGTTGAATATTCCCTAGAACAACTTAACGAGCTCTTTGATACGCTCTTCTGGGGCTCTGTGCACGTTCGTTTTAAGGGTGCAGAATTCATCACGTGGTTAAAGCCATGCACCCCTGCGTTACCCACGGCTTGCTCGTTGAGAGACCTTATTTGTGAATCGAGGCTTTTCTTAATGTCTCAGGTTGTTCTTCTTTCCCTGAAATGGTTAGGACACCCACCAACTATCTTTGGAGAGTGGGTATCCTCAAAGTCCCCCGGTGAAAAGGAAAACCTGTGCTGTCCCGCACTTGTCTAAGGTCTGGTTCCTCACTCTCTTTTCCATGCAACTCCATTCACGTGTTGCGTGAGGACTAAGTCAGCTAAGTTCAGCATCGTCATGGCTTTTCAAAGGGGGAAAAGTAATCCTGACTTCTCTGCAGGCCCTTTTTAAGCACCAGTTGGGGATAGCCCCTGGGAGGCAGCGCTGTATCTCACTCCCTTGAGCCCAGCATTCAGATCACTGCACAAGACACAGATGATTCCAGAACAGTGGGCCTAGGTTTCAGCCTTAATCATTTTCCATTTTCACCAGGGCTTATACAATCGTAAATGACCAGATTGCTTAGGGGTTCTATAAAGCCAAGCAGACTGGGAGGCAGTGTAGAATAGTGGTCAACTGACTGCATAGCTTTTACATTCCCATGGCCCTGGGTTAAACTTCCACGTCTGTCATTTCCTAGCTGTGTGACCTTGGGAAAGTCCCTTGACTTCTCTGAGCTTCATCTGCCTTACCTGTAAAACACACATTGATAACTCCCTGTATGAAGGTCAGCGTGAGGAGGAAGTAATATGACATATCGAAGAATTCAGCATAGTGCCTGCAATTGTTGCTTATTAAATCATAGATTATACCGGAGAATGCTTTGATATGTATTGGTACATTGACTTATCGGTTTTCTGTTACTTCGATACAAGCCACTGTGCTTAGTATAAGGACTTCCTCCCCACCCCTCACCCCGACCCTGCAATTTGAACTCTCTGTTTCCCTAAAAACTATAAGCTAATTGTTAATTGAGAAACAATATAGAATTCCACAGGAAAAGTAAAAGAGCTTTGGGCACAACTTTTCCTGGGGCTCTATTCTCAGTAGCGTCAGGTCGAGACCTGAGGCTGATAACATGTGTCCCCATGGGTCACACCTGAACAACCAGTGCAGTCAATGAAATAACATTCAACACTCATCCAACAAGCATTTATTGACATCGACTATGTGCCAGGTGATGGATATGTCAATCTCCCTGGGGTTTGTTTTAAGCAGCGCTCAAGGTCTGTTTTAAACATTTTCATATAAATTAACTCTTTTATAAATTGTTGTAATGTTCATTTATTTGACAGAGAGAGAGAGAGAGAGACGGAGACAGAGACAGAGTGTGAGCAGGGGAGGGGCAGAGAGAGAGGGAGAAACAGGCTCCAGGCTCTGAGCTGTCAGAGCCAGAGCCCGATGTGGGGCTTAAACCCACAAGCTGTGAGATCATGACCTGAGCTGAAGTCAGACGCTTAACCGACTGAGCCACCCAGGCGACCCTAAATGAGCTCTTTTCACCCTTCAACCAAAGGTGGGAGGTACTAGCATTGGTCCCATTTTACAGATGAAGAAACTGAGCACAGAGAGGTAACGTGTCCAAGGCCACACAAGTATTATGCAGAACTGGATCAAGACCCAGCAAAGTAGTTGTAGGGTCTTTCCTCATCATCCCCATGTCTTACTGCTAACTGCATTTGTTCATCTGAGCGGCCAATGTCATACCTCCAGCTTGGTTTCTTTACTCCCCTTTTCGAAGCTGGATTCCCTAGATGATAGGATTGGGGCTTCACTCTTTCCTCTCTGCTCTGAATACCTCAGAAGGGGCTGTAAAATCCCCCTGGACGCTGGTTAGGCCCTCCATTGATCAAGCCGTGTGTCATCGGTTACTGTGTTCAAGACAATCTCTTGCTCTTTCGAATAAGAATTATAAACGTACTTTGATGCATTAAAAATATCTACCTTAGGGGAGGTTTGCTTCATAATCTAATAAAACAGATTTCTAACTTGCAGGTTATTACAGCCTTTGAAGTATTATTTAAATTGTCCTAGACACAAATTACTTATAAAATTGAACTGTCACTTTATAGCAGAATTAAAATTAATATGCTCCTCTTGATTCCCGTACTTGGGTATAAATTCCCTTATGTAAAATGCTCTGAAATTTGGAAAGCTCAAAATCTGCACCCATTTCTCTGTCCACTCTTGTGTCTCTTGGTAAAAGGGAAAGAATACAAACTGTCAGTAACAACCAGAGTGAAGGAAGAATGTTTATTCAGAGCCAAATGTCACTTTCTTTCAGCTATGTTAAAAAACATCACTTGAAAAAGAGGGAAAAAAAAACCCCTCTCATATTTGCAAATGGAAAACACTATAAAAAAGAGAAAAATGGCTGCCCCAATAATCCCAAGACGTAAATTTTTCTTAAGGGGTGGGTGCTATCCTTCATATGCTCTTTTCAGAACCTAGACCGTCCTGCACACACAGTAGACTATTAGACCAGGCACTAAGTTTCATCCCTGGTTAGCAAATGACATACAAAGAACAAAATTGCTCCCTTGAAGTTGAAATCAAAGAGCCCTGGTGAGCAGCCGTATGTCCATCAGGACGGGAGAGCACACACATGTGGGTGATGGAGGCAATCCAGAGAGGGGCAAGCCTCCCAGGGGTTGTTTTAAACAATGACAGACTGCAAAATCTGAAAGTGATGTGTTGGAACATGAAACACACACGCACGCATGCACACACACACACACACACACACACACACACTTGTAAAAAAGATCACCAAAGTCCCTCAGAGCCAAAGTTTAAAAGAACACGTGCTCTGGACATAGTAACAGTAATTTCAAAATCACTCCATTTATGACTCTATTCCTCATCTCTTTGATCACGTTGGCACACTATTCAGGAAATAACAGAAAAAGAAATATGAAGCTGGAGACAGAAAATTTGATTATAAAACAAAGCCACCCACCTTGCTTTCGGGGTCAGGAAGTACAATGGCCTTCTTTTGCAGCAAGAATGAACTTAACACCAGTGTGTTAAATAATCATGTATATATTTAAAGGAAAAGGAAATGGTTCTTTAAAAAAAAAAAAAACTGCAACATCTCAGTCCTCTTAGCAAGTCTTACCAAAAAAATAAAAATAAAATAAAAGCAGCATACTGTGGTTCTTTGGCACAAGGCAGAGAGCGGCGTCTTCAAGTCACTATTTCCCTGTTTTGCAAAACCGAACAAAAAGCAATGGCAGAAGACGCGGGGAAGGACCTTCAAACATCTCTTGCCCTCCTGGGTCCCTCCCAGTGCCTCCTCTCCGTAAGGGCTGTAGCAGCCGCAAAGATCAACACCAATGTCACCATCGGCTGCTTAAATGCCACAAAAGTACACTTAGAAATGAGAGGAAAGTGACTGACACGGATTTGCTGAGCCAGCCCCACTGCCACTAGAACAGCCTTAAATGCCCACACAAGGAGAATAAAAAGAAAAGCACATTTTGCAATAGAATAAATTCTTTTTTTTTTTTTTTTTTATTGAGACCGCGGAAAGTCACATGACCCTGCATGTAGCCTTTTAGGAAAGCAACCAAAATGGTAAAGAAAGGCGTGGGGGCTGCCTCCTTCCTCCCGCCGCCTCTCAGCCGGTCCCGCCGCGTGTCCGCATTCTTCTGGGCGCATCTGTGGAGCTATTAAGTGGGATAATCCCTCTGGCCTTTGATACATTTCTGGACATGATTATTTCATTACTCGCAGTATATCAGTAGGATCATAATAAAAAGGACTTCTGACAACCTGCCAAGAGTTTTGTGGCCTTGTAAACACAAAAGTGCTCTAATAAAATTTTATTAAGTGTTAAAAAGTCATAAAAAGTGAAATAACATAAACTACAAAATTTACTGTCCTCAGCAAATGCTGAAAATATCGTCCACAGTAAAATTAAATTAGCATGTAATAGACAGAGAAGCAGTGTGGAGTGGATTTAAAAGAGGATCCAGGGAAAATGACACTGTAACCCAATCTGGGTCACGGGGATTTAATTCGGATTCTTCTCCCTAAATGTGAATAAATGTGCTGATTACAGACAAGAGCTCCGGGGTTATTGGAGTCTCACACATTGTCAATACTTTGGGAGAAATAATATATTGCAGATTGTAATGAGCGGGGGAGCCCGAGCGAGCGCGGCGCGGAGCGGGCTAGGGGCAGGGCGTCCACTAGGGCGCGCTGCGAGACCGGGAATCCCCGCCCGGCGCCCGCGGGGCCGCGCCGCCCCAGCCG